CGTTAACTGAACTTTGTTCAGTAGCGGGAGTTGCTCTACTTTTTTTCAAAAGAGAACCAAATGCAGATTTTAAAAGTGATTTTCCTTTAGATGAAGAAGATGTTCGCGGCATGGGAGGGGGTGCATTACCATATTGTGCATGAAATTCATTATACAATTGATGAAATAAATTACTAACTTCGTTGTATTCTTGTTTAGGGTCGATGGGATTATCATTGAACTCTTGAGTTGGAAAAAAGAAGCATAATAGTAATCTATACAAGTTCCCAAGTAAGCAAGTTTATAACGAGGATCAAGAACAAATGCATTACCATATATGCGGAATATGTGAATAATATTTTAAAAACTTTTGTTTCATGAAATCACAAAAATAACTAACGTAAGCGGCATCGGAAAATTCACAAAAAGCACCGGCGAGATTAACAGCTTCAACAAAAAATTCGTTTGCGGTAGGTTTATAAACATGACTAAAAGTTTGAGTTGCGTTATTAAAATATACCAAAACATTAACAATTTTTTCACAAGTGTCAATGTCAGCCGGGTTTATAATACAATTACAAGTTTGTCTTAAAAAAGCAGGAAAATGATCTTTATATCTAATAAGTACTTGAATTAAGTTATAATTACTATTCCAACGAATACACAAATCTTTAGGAAAAGCACAATAATTGACACGTCTATCCTTCAAATATTGCCGCCATTGCATTTTTAGTGGAGTGTTAGCCCAAATCAATTTAATTCCCCTCTTCACTACCTCCAAAGCATCTCCTAATGCCGCTAACCCATCTTGTACACACAAATTTAGAATATGACATGCACAACGTTGATGAAAAAACCTACCCATCAATGTAGAAGCACCGCACAATTCACGCAATCTAGGTATAGCAGCAGTATTATTACTAGCATTATCAAAACCTACAGCAAACACCTTATCAATCAAATTATACTCAATTAAAATACGCTCAATGAGAATATAAATATTATCAACAGTGTGACGATCATTGAATTCACGAAAAGCAAGAACATGTTTATGCATATTCCAATCATCATCAATATAATGTGCAGTAAGACCCAAATAATATAAATGATGATAAGTATCCTCCCATATATCGCTACAAATACTAACACGTCCATCAAAGTTTGCGAAAAATGTTTGTAATTTTTCTTTTTCCAAGTTATATTGCCTTATAACTTCTTTTTTAATCGTTTTGCGACTATAATTTCTAAATTGAGGATTTAAAGTACCTTGAGCATAATCTCTTAAAGCAAGACTTTCAGAAAAAATATATGGTAAATTTTCTTCAACAATTAAATGAGACATACCAGTCAGATGTTTTTGATCATCATAGGAGAAATTACCAAAGGGTTGAGAATTTGCAAACCTCGATATTTGTGTTTGCTTCCCCTTGCCTTTGTCTATTTTCGCATACTACACAAAGTGGGTGGACTTAAGATGCCTTGTCAGACTCCCGTATCCGCCAGAAGTTCCCAAGTTAATACTCTTTGTTGCAATGATTGCAACTTGCGTACCATTTATCGGTATTTTTGTCTTTCCTTTTTGTAAAATTGTTTTCAATAATAGGAGATTTAGATTTCTTACCAACTTGGGATGAACCACCCTCTCCTCCAACTCTTGCTCATCATCCGGGGTGCCGTGAGTCCCGTCGCCCCCCTCGTCCCCCTCTGCATCGTCATCCTCGAGCTCCTCTTCATCAATGGACTCCGGGATGTTTTGTTGATGGAAAAAGCGCCCATCATTTTGGGACAATAGGTTTTGTAGTTGTTCGTCGAACATCGTCATTCCATCTATTCGTTGGTAATCCGTTTCAAAATCATCTCGACTTTGAAAAGAAGACTCGGCCTACGCTTTACCTTTGCCTTTGTGTGAAGTAGGACGAGTCGCCGCAATCTCCTTCTTGCGGTTGCGTTGGAGATTACCTATATCTACAGAATGTCAGAATGTCTACCACGGTCCATCTTTAAAATTGAACAAATATTAAATGATACCAAATATTTTATATGAGTACAATAGTAATAATAAAATATATGAGAAAGGTAACAATTAACTAGTTTAACTAATATTAATATGACAAATGTAAAAATTAAATAGTGTTTTTTACTTTAATGAGAAATGTAGCAATTAACTAATATTAATATGAGAAAGGTAACAATTAACTAGTTTAACTAATATTAATATGACAAATGTAAAAACTAACTATTTTTTTTACTTTAATGAGAAATGTAGCAATTAACTAATATTAATATGAGAAAGATAACAATCAACTAGTTTAACTAATAATAATATGACACATGTAAAAATTAACTAGTTTTTTTTACTTTAATGAGCAATGTAGCAATTAACTAATATTAATATGAGAAAGGTAACAATTAACTAGTTTAACTAATATTAATATGACAAATGTAAAAATTAACTAGTTTTTTTTTTTACTTTAATGAGAAATGTAGCAATTAACTAATATTAATATGAGAAAGGTAACAATCAACTAGTTTAACTAATATTAATATGACAAATGTAAAAATCTACTAGTTTTTTTTGTTTTACTTTAATGAGCAATGTAGCAATTAACTAATATTAATATGAGAAATGTAACAATTAACTAGTTTAACTAATATTAATATGACTTTATCAAAAAAAAAAAAACTAATATTAATATGACAAATGTAAAAATTAACTATTTTTTTACTTTAATGAGAAATGTAGCAATTAACTAATATTAATATGAGAAAGGTAACAATCAACTAGTTTAACTAATATTAATATGACAAATGTAAAAATTAACTATTTTTTTTACTTTAATGAGCAATGTAGCAATTAACTAATATTAATATGAGAAATGTAACAATTAACTAGTTTAACTAATATTAATATGACAAATGTAAAAATTAACTAGTTTTTTTACTTTAATGAGAAATGTAGCAATTAACTAAGTAACTAGTTTAACTAATATTAAATGAAAAATGATATGTAACAAGTAACTAATATTTTTTTTTCTTTGAAGAGAAATGTAGACAAATGTAACAATTAACTAATTTAATAGATAAATTAGAAGTCTAATAATTAACTACTTTTATAAAATGTATGAATTTGTATAAGTCTATATAGTTTATATAATGTGTAAATGTATTATAAGTAATATATAATATAATGTTTATAGTATATAATTTATAAGTATATTACTATAAATGGAGTAATACACTTAAGACTATAATATATATATATATATATATATATATATATATATATATATATATATATATATATATATATATATATATATATATATAACTAATATAAGTATATATTAACTAAATGTAATATGTAAATATAAGTAAATAACAATAGTATGGATAATAAGTAAATATAAATGTGTATAAGTATATATATAGTATATATAATGTGTAAATATATTATAAGTAATATATAATATAATGTTTATAGTATATAATATATAAGTATATTACTATAAGATGAGTAATACACTTATACTTAATACTTTTATATATATATATATATATATATATATATATATATATATATATATATATATATATATATATATATATATATATATATATATATATATAAAAGTATATAACAATAGTATGGATAATAACTAAATATCAAGTAAATATGGATGTGTATAAGTATATATAGTATATATAATGTGTAAAGAATTATAATATGAATGTGTATAAGTATATATAAGTATATATTTATAAGTAGATAATTAATATATAAGTAGATATAATAATTATATAAATTATATGTATGTAGAAAGAATTTGGAGAAGATGAAGAATGAAGAATGAAGATGATTGAATATGAGAGATTGAGAGAATATAGAATTAGAGGGTAGGAAGAGTTGTAGAAGAAGAGGTGTAAAAAATGTATAGAAAATAGGAGTATAAATAGGTTTTTTTTGTATACCCCACCCCCACCCCACCCTTAACCCCCCCTCCTATGCTCCCAACGGCTATAGAGCCTTTTGGGAATAGTCCCAACGGCTATAGCCTTTAATTATTTAAAAAAATTAAAAAAATGTGACCGTTGAGGCCCGGACCGGGCCCGGCCTGGCCGGTTCACTAATAAGCAGGCTTGAGCCCACACTGCTAGCTGACCAGGTCAGGTGGCCCGAACCGGCACCCAGACCGGTTACCGGGCCGGGCCTAAACAGTACCGGTTCGAGCCGGTTGGCCCAACCCGAGTCTATCCCTGAATGGAACTCACAAGTTCGGGACCAGCCCGGAACTAGTATTATAGGTCCCTGTCCCTAGTATTATTTCGCAAGGACCAACTAGTATGGGGAGCGGAATAGTCCACCACTAATAATGCCATAATGGGTATTGAAGAAATACAAACATGCCTTTTACTTTGGGATGGATTGGGACGGGTCAGCCCGACCCGGGACCTAGCCCAGTACTGTGCTGGCTCGACCTGGCCCGACAGTACCAAGACCGGGACTGGGGGCCCGAACCAGGTGGAAGAGGGGCAGGCTACGGCCTGCAAAATCTGAGGACCAGCCCGGCCAGTCCATGACTGGACCAGGCCGAATTTATATATTTTTAAATTTTTTTCCATTCATTGGCTACTAGCCAGTTGGGGCTGGGTGGTTTGGGGGGGTATGGGGTGGGGGGTCTAGGGGTGGGGGGAGGAATAAAATTGAATAAACAAATTTAAAACATAAAAAATAAACCCAACCTTTGCCCGTACCGGGCCTTCATCCCGAACCCCCAGTCCCGCCCCGACCTGTCCCGGAGCCCGGCTTGGGGCCCGGTCCATGCCTACTTTTACTTGCATTATTCAGTACCAGTAGTCAGTGCCTCTTGAACTTTTCTCATGAAAATAGATGATAATTTGGGTGCTTATATTGTTTAAAAACATTTTTTGAACATAAACAACTTGCAAACAAGGCAATAATGATTAAACAATGTAAGCTCGGCACCAACCCTTTCGCATCTACTGTGGGAAGGCTTATGTGTGCAGTAGTGTAAATAATGGAAATCATTATAATGGACAGAATAATGGAAATAATCAGAAAAGTTGATCTGTTATAATAATAAAAAACAGTATAATGGACAGAAGAATGCAAATCATTATTCAAAGTCAATTTCGTTGCGTCCATAAGAAGATAATGTACCCATAGATCCTATGAAGAAAACGAAAGCATACAGTTCTATGATTTCAACAAAATATTCCCTTCAACAAGGGAACTTTCAATTAATATTCAATAAATTACTGTTGGATCTTGAGGACGGGGAAAGCAATAACATCACGGATGCTGGCAGAGTTTGTCAAAAGCATTACCAGCCTGTCAACGCCCAGTCCCTGAAAACCAGTCATCTTTAGATTTTACAATATATGCACTAAATTAATTCACCATTGTATTAATAATGTCCTGGTTTTAGTTTCCCATTTGCTAATTCATGTTTTAGAATAGAAAAACAAATACTCCGTATCAATTAAACACCCCTTCATCCAAAAAAAAAAAAAGAAAAGAAACACCCCTTCTCTATGAGCATCAAGCAATACTCTCGTCTTGCAATTATTTGACTATCATAGTGGGTTGACCCCATTCTGAGAATGAGTGGTGATTATGAGACCAAATATGCATATACGACTCTTGACTTTATAGAAACCCAGAACTTAATGACAAGACATAGGGAGTGTTTGAGATTGCTTGTACTTTTTAAAAGTGATTTAAAGAAAAAAATAGATAGTGTTTGAAAATAGAAGTGATTTTCATCAAAAGGTAAAAGTTGGAGTGTTTGTTAAAAAAGTGATTATCGATTGGAATATATTATCAAAATACCAAAATGCCCTTATTCAAATTAATCGGTGAATCTAAAATGAAGAGGGAGATCAGGAGAACTACTCGACCAACTGCAACTTCTTTCCACAAAACACCCAGCCCAACCCGGGCAAAACAAAAAACATTGAAAAAACTTAAAAAAAAAGGCCCGGGCCCGGCCTGGCCGGTACCAAAGGATAGGGTAGCCCGGAACTGCCCCGCCCAACCCCCCGGGCCGGGCCTAGGCCCGGAACCGGTCCCGATTCCCCGGGCCGGTCCGGGCCCGCACATTGGTGGGCCGGGCCGGTTCCCGGGCCAACCAGAACCGGGCCATCACTAATTCGTAATACCAAAATCGGCTGATTCGGGTGAACTTATGAAGTTCTGGCTCAAGTGGGTGATTCTACTAATTTATGTAAAAATAAAATTATATGTAAAATATTTTTTATGAATAAAATAAAGAAAATATTACATGACAAAATAACTAAAATGATCCGCTACAGTAGCTTCAGCCAATACAGGAAGGTATATCCAACCTTATTTTTTCTTATTATTACACAATTCAGCGTTTGAATCAAAACTTACGTGTTTGGTGAAATACTTGGCTGATAAACCGAAAAACAAGGTCTCCAAACGGGCTCACAGTATTCGTTAAACCAAGAGAGTTTCCATTATGTTATTATTATTTCGATCCAGCTTAATGAATAACACAGGCAGCAAGGAATAGAGATGAGAGAATTCCCCAAATAGGAGTAAAAGATAGGCAAAATGCAAAAATAGGAGTACCATGTTTTGAATAGGAGTAACTTTAGTGTTTAGACAAGTATATCCCTATCCAAGTGCCAACAACTTTCAATAATAATTAAAACATAAAAGGAATAACATTAATTTATAATTAAATTGTAAAAAAATGAAAAAACACAAAAATATATCAAATAAAACATACTTCGTATTAAATAAAATTAATAAAAAAATTATTAAAATAAAAAATATTAAAAAAAACTAAAAAAAAAAAAACTAAAAAAAAATATGTAGGTGTTTGCCGCCGCCGCCTCAACAACCTCCCAGCACCACCAGCTCCGACTACCGAAAAAAATGCCAACATTTTACCGAAATGCCATCATGATCGCAGATTTTGAGAAAATTTGGCATTTTCAAAGAGCAAAACTGCCATCTTTACGGCATTTTCAAAGAAAAATGGAAGTTTTAACATAAGATGGCATTTTTCCCGCCGATCGGAGGTGACATTGCTGGGTGATGGCCGAGGTTGCGGCAAAGGCCTGCATAATTTTTTTTATATTTTTTAATGTGGTTTATTTATTTTTTATTTATTTTCAATTTTTTTTTTAATTAAAAAAATGTTTTTTTAAATTTCTATTATTTCAATATATTTTTTCAAATATTTTAGATTTTTTTTATATTTTATTAGGATCAAATAAGTCATATTTTAGAATTAACTAGGTTAGGGGTATTAAGGGTACAAAATTAATGTTTACTCCTATTGAAGGAAGTTTTAATTTTCACTCCTATTTGTGCAATTATGTTTATGTTTACTTCTATATTGGGCAATTTCTCAATAGAGATTCAAGGGTCAGCTGATTACTAATAAATGACTTATCTTTCATAAAACTTAATGTTATACAAACAAATTGATATGGGCAAAAGAGGTCTTATATTATTACTATTATTAATACGTAGTAATATTGCTATTATTATTGTAGTTTTTTTTTTTAATATTAATACTTGTTATTGCTATTATTATTAATATTATTAGTGTTATTGTCCTATTATTTTTTATACTATTAGCAGTTTCCTATTAGTTTAGATATTAAATTTTAGTTGCTATTCTTAATAAAAGTATTGTAATAGGTCACAAGTTACTCTCATACTGGGCCACTAAAACTCTTGGGACCTACACACACACACTATATAGAGAGGTGTTTTATTCATTAATAACACCATCAATCTTTTGGAGTAACAATTCTTGTGCACTTGGTGGAACCAACACCCGTAACTCTCTCTAGCCTCTACCACACCTGTGTCTATTTATTACTTCAAAATATTGATGATCTTGTTAGTTATAGAACACAACTGTAAAATTACATTAGATTGATAAAGATTATTAACTAAAATAGAATGCCTAAACTAATAGGAAACAACTTCTAGTAAGGACACTAACACTGCTAACAACAATAACAACAAGCATCATCATTATTATTATTACGGCCACCGTTCCACACTTCCACTAATATTGGGGCATGAGGAGATGGTGCGGTTATTAATATAAGTGGGTTTATGTGGTCGCTATTGAATTGATAAAGTAAAAATTAAGTAAGAATGATTTAGAATCACACAAACTTTATAAAATTTGGTATGAGACAATCTTAATGGGACGGATTGAAAAGGAAAAATGAGACAATCTCAGGAGAGACTATTATTTCGGCATCCAAGCATAACAAAATAAGATTCAAAATAATTTGAAATTCCAAAATAGAGTACTACATTTCTTTCCCTAAATAGTCATTATTGAGAAGGTGGTATTTTATCTATCTTTAGCATAATGACCATGATGTGTTCTTGTAATGACTGTAATTAGTGTGAAGATTGAAGAATGGTCAATAAAGATGCTAGCGAGTAGCGAGCTAGGGATTTATAAGAAAAAAGAAAAGTAATTGGTAAAAGATACCATTCCAGAAGCAGGAGGCATCCCGTACTCTAGAGCCGTTAGAAAGTCTTCATCAAGAGTAATTTCATAGGAGTCATCAGGTTTCTTGTTCTCCTTTCCTTCAACAGCTCTTTTCTCATTATGCTGCCTCACTTGTTCTTCCAATCGTCCTCTCTGAAACAACCACAGAGAAACAATCAAGGAATTCAGCATAAAGTGTAGAACTGCGCTCCACCAACAAGAGTGTAGTTATGCTCAGTAGTCAGTACTGCAACTATCAAGCTTTTCTGCACCCATGCAAGTGACTAGGAGAATTAGTCCATACAACAGCACACTTTCTTGAGTTGCAGCAATCATTGATGAAGAGGTAAGCGAGTACCAACTACCAAGAGTTGGTATGGTAGACTTAAAATGACACATAAAAGTAAGTGAACAATAAAGATATAATGATGATATTACTGGAAAACTTCAGGAGATTTTCTATTGGCTCATGTAGCTTACCACCTGACCCCACACTCTTTGGTATTCAAGGCCTGTTGTATTAAATAAATACACAAAAAATTGAAATGGAGCATAAGAAACTCCTTTACCTATTCATTAAGTTGGTATTAGTGGGTCAAGACTAGAACACCTAACTGCAAGCCTGTGGGGCCTTTTACTTGCCCTGTTGAGCCGGGGATCATTTGCTATTCAAATTAATAATGATAAATTTATCAGACCTTTTGCGAGATTAAAAAGTTTATGCAACCACAGAGCTACATCCATTGAAGTAAATTAATGCTATTACAGTCGTAAGAACCATTATATAATCAAAATAGAAGATACAAAAGAAGCACATCCACCTTAATGGTGAAATATGACGCAGAAGGTGAGACTTCAGTAATGTTATACCATCATACCACTTCAAGCATCATACATATTAATTCCATTCTCTTGTATCACCCCAAAAGCATTTTAGGCTAATTAAGTTCTCTCTACATACAAGATGGACTAAAGTCTGTTGGAAGAAACCAAATCCAAAAGAGAAATGAATAAAACCTGGTCTAGAGGATCGGTTAGTTCAGAGAAAGCGTTCGCCAGCTCACGACCACAAATGAAAAGTTCAAATCTTTCTGTTAACCCTGAATATCTGGAAAAAGACAAAATAAGAAAACTATAATTTTTCTGTTCCATTTCTGACATTGGATAAAATTTGTTATATAAGCCATCCGCCCATCTAAGAAGGAACAAATTCATTTCTTGAAGAAGAGGAAAATTGGGCTTTTCCACATCTGATATATTTTATTACCTCCGTCCCACCAAGATTGGGACAAGAGGGTGTGGTGCGGGGTTTTAAGAAAAGTGGAATTGTGTGGTTGGTATTGAGTTGATAGTGTAAATAAAGTAAGAATGAATGATAACCACCCAAATATTACCAAATATGGTATGGGACAAACTTAATGGGACGGATGAAAAAGGAAAAACGAGACAAAGTTAGGAAAACAGAGGGAGTAATATTTAATGTCCTGTAATATACTACTACAGTACTACGTATAATAATGCATCTCATCATTCTGATATATAATAATTGTGCTCTTTTATCTTTTTATATTTTATCTTTCTTATGTTCTTATGTTAATTTAATCTTATAACTACCTTTATCTTATCCATTATATCTTACTTTATCCTTTTATTCTTTTTATCTTTCTTCTCTTTTTGGCTCTGATACCATGGATTGATTCAAGTTAGCCGACCCCAAAATCTTTTGGGAATAAGACTTGGATGTTGTTGTTGAACAAGTGTAATTCACACAGCAAAAAATCTAAATTTGGAATGGAAGAAGTATGTGCGTAAGCTATGGAATAAGCCATTGAGGCAGAATACGTTATCCCAAAATTAGTGAAATTTATATTTAAATAATCATCAAGTGTTGGAATTATTAAAATGCAAAATGTGAACAAGTGGGCATGTGATAGTGAAGAAAAGTTGATAATTCTACCTTCTATGGGGCTTGGCAAATGGTGATACTTCTATGGGATAATCCAAAACAAACGTAGGCTGTAGAAGCTTTGGTTCCACTGCCATCTCAAAGACCTGAAACAGGAGGATTTGAGGTGAAACACTTCTCTGCATTGTATTCTCTTTTCAGATCTCTAAGTGGAACACCAATTACACTGATAACAGTTTTATTTTATTTTTTGTGATAAAGGACACCGGCCCATTACACTCACAATTTAAAAATAAGATATTCGAGCTTGCCAAGATTAACCTCATTAAGCAAATGGCCAACAGTTTGACATGCTTCAATGCAGCTTTTCTGTTGGTCTCCCCCAAAAACATTGACTAACTGAAGAACATGTTCTTTAGCAACTGTGAGATCATCCCCAAACTGGTTAAAATCAATTCCTGTAGCTTCTTTCACAAGATTATGCATTGTCTCTCTTCTCCAAGGTCTTTCTAAGCAAATCTCTAAACCCTGCAAGATAGATATGGTTAAAATCGGTCAGTCAGCAATTGAAAAGTTAAAAATACAAAGATAGGTAAAAAAAACTCCAACCAAAAGACTTCATACATTTATATATGTAACGAAACCCTGAGCTCAGCCACAACACCTGCAGTAGAAAATGATCCCAGTACGAGAAAAAACACTCCTATGTTTTCTCTTTCTCCTAGAGCAAGCTGCAACTATTGAAAAATCACTCCTATAATTTCTCTCTTTCTCCTTCAAGGTCAAAGGAGCTTTCAAAAAGAAAAATTGTCTTATCCTTATTAAGGGCTTCAAACATTTACATTATGTCGATGAGACACTTATCAACAGCCCTCAAAGTTAGGCCACAGCATGGCTTGTGTCGGGTACTGTAATACCATGTAAGAACTGGAATCCAGTCCATGATGAGGGGTAGAGAATCGAACTATAATGCATATGTGTTAGAGCGGGAGGCAGTTGGGCCGCTGCTTCAGGAGGACGGGCCTCGCCCGTTATTAGTCTAACGGCGCCGTCAGCGGGCCTAGTTGGGCTGGGTTGACTGCTGGAGTTTATTACATTTAATTATTTATTTTTAAACTGGACTGGGCATAGTTTATTTTTATTGGAGTTATTTTTGGATTATTAGGTTAAGAGTATTGAAGGAGGTCTTATGAACTACTTGTATTATTCATTATCGAGAATAAGGATTTGGTTTAAGCCTACGGCTGGGGCAGACGTTAATATCGTTTGCTAGGTTTTTCTTCTGCTTCTATCAATATGCATCCGCCGAGTCTCAGACAAAACTAAACTCTACGGATGGAAATTATATCCAATCTGTTGGATACCGCACAGAACTGTTCCAGTCAAATGGGGAAATTGCATTGATCGGAACGGGTAAGGGTACTAGACAAGGAACTACTGTTATGTTTTATGGCTAAAGGGCGTTTATTGTTTTATACATAATCGCTCAATACCCGCCTCGTAACCACCTGTTTATTTTGAATATAGTTACCCAAAACATAAACCATCAACCCCTTTAATTATTTAAATAAATAAAATACTACAAATAGTACACATGCACGGAGAGATTTGAAATTAGTATATATGCAAATACATACAAAGAAACACATATATTGTTTAGTACAAACAACATCCAAGCCTTAGTCCCAAACGATATTGGGGTCGGCTAACATGAATCGATACATGATATCACCAAAAGGAAAAGAAAGAAAATAAAGTTAAAAAAGATAATCAAAATATATACTCTATTTGTCCCAAAATGAAACTGTTTAGTGATTAAAATATGTTCAAAATATATACTCTATTTGTCCCAAAATGAAACTGTTTAACTTTTTGGGCTTAAAAATTTAAAAAGTGTGATAAAATGGCAACTTTACCCTTAATGATTACTTTTGGGTAAAGGACCAGGAGGAAAACGGTAAAGGAAGACTCAAAAAGGAAATAGGGATAATATGGGAATTTTAACCAAAAAGTACTTGCCAAAAAAGGAATTGTTACTTTCCATTTTCTCCCTCAAATATCAAGTAGCAACCCCTTCCACAGTCCGGATATGGGATGTTTATAGGTGAATAGTGGATGAGCTCTTGTATGTGTGACACATCAGTGACTTCAACTAGCTACGAGAACAACACGTGTCCCTCTCAGGTGGAAAGTCTGGCAATACACCATATGGCAGAAGGGCACGAAGCTCAAGGGATTAGATATTGTGGCCATCATCTGCTGTCTGTACAGCTGTTGAATCCCAGGATTCTTTGGAAACCATAATTTCTCCTTCTAAATCCGCACTTCTTCCTTGAAATGTGAGTCCCCCTCTCCTGAATCTATCACTCCTTTGAGTTGAGGATTGTCGACGTGAAAAATAGTAATTATTCCTGATGGGGGCGAGCCTGTGCCCAACGCCACCCTCGCTGTTGGATACTTGGTGTTTGAGTTCCTAAAACAGATTCTTTGAGGCATTATCTGTGGTTGTAAAGGTTTCTGACAGCTGTCGCAATGTGCCATCTTGAGATAGTGCATGTGGCTATGGTACATCCACGTGGATGTCAAGTCAAATTCAAAATCATGGAGCCTAGAGTTCAAAGTTCTCTTCAAACAATCTGTGGCATGCACCACCATGGTGTGGCCACGTTGACTTTGTTCTGAATTTGATTACACAACTGGCCAAGTTAGGGTTTCAGCCCAAAGCATTCACTCCTTGTCTTATCTTATAAACATCCCTTCCCTCTGGGAACTCACGCCGTCTGAAATTTTAGTGAAGCTCTGTTAAACCAATAACACGCCTTCGCCCATCCCAGATTCCAGCCGTCGTTTCTGAAGGTCAGTTTCGCTTTTTAATCTCCTTCCCTTTGCTCCATATCATATGTCCTTACACTCTAATCATCAAATTAGGCACAATTCTAGGTCTTCTTGCTTAAAGCTCAAGGTTTTCCCAGCTTCCTGCTGTAGTTCATCTTCACATCTTCAAATTCAATCTTTTGTTTATTCAAGCTTATTTCTTCTGAAATTGTATATGTTTTGGGGGTTTTCCATCAAATTCCGTGTTATTCCGAGTTTTTGGGTTTCAGATATTCGAATCTTGCATTTGTGGAGAGGTTTTAAATTAATTGTTCTAGCTCTCAACTATAGCAGCACACGGTGGTTATTAAAACCCTAATCCAAGAGAGAGAGGGTATAACTCAAATATCAAGTAATCAACTCCTTCCATAGTCTAGATATGAGGTATTTGTCAGTGAATAGTGAGTGAGCTAGGCTACTTGCATGTTTACACGTGTCCCTGGCCACCTGCATGAATGATGTGCATCCTTCGGCTCACTACCAGAACAACAAGTGTATGTCCCTCACAAAACGTGTCCCTCCCTAGTGGAGAGTCTGGCAATCAGTGCCATGTATCCAAACCAGGGCGGGAGAGTTTCTTGTGACACGGATGACATCAGCCTTTCCTTTACTAGAAAGCATTTCACACGACTTCCTTATCTGGAGCCAAGGCTGAGGCTGCTACACTCACGCTTCAAACCAGGACGGGAGAGTTTCTTGTGACACGGATGACATCAGCCTTTCCTTTACTAGCAAGCATTTCACACGACTTCCTTATCTGGAGCCAAGGCTGAGGCTGCTACACTCACGCTGGGTCGGAAGGAAGTCTAAAAATCAAAGGCCTAGGGGTCCATCTGGTAAATTAGAATAAGTATGAAGTCAGAAGTGTTTAAATTAGAAAAGCATACATTGTTTTCACAGGCTCACAAGAAAAGTAAGACCGCCAGGCTATGATAGGGGATGTATTTTCTATTGGAGGAATAAAGGGGTTCACATCATTTAAAATGTAAGGATGTCAGGAGAGTAGGAGACTTGGGCTGGAACCCCTCTCTTTCCACTGGTGTGTGATCAAAGCTCAATTTACATCCTACCATATAACTGCCTGGCTGGTTCTGGGGCCCTTAGGGCTGGGATGTCATCCTTTTTTTTTTCAGGATGTCAGGTTGTGTTAGATTGTCAGGGTGCATGAGTGTTGAGACAGAGAATACTACTATAATCCAAGTCCATAGAGTGAAACACAAAACCTTCTTCCTCTCAATCTATAAAACCCGAATGCCCAATATGCCTAAATCTCTTGTGGGTCACAATGCTATTATCTTAACTTTCATATTAACTTCTCCCATGGCAAGCTTCAAACTATGCAAACATCTCCCTCCTCTGTCTTGTTCATGTCATGCAATAACCCTCGACCAATCCTCAAGGATATAATATAAGCATATCATTCCAGACAAATCAAAGAAGAAACTAGCAAAACCTGATAATATACAGTGAGTTCTCCCAGAACTGCACGAGCACATCTTGTTACAATCTCTTCCGCCATATTCATCATGCTTTGATAGTCTGAATATGCTTCATACATCTAAAGAATGGTTTGGATAATAAAATAGGTAAGTAACTTATGCATTGCCCAAGTAAGTAAAAAATAGGTAAGTAACTTGGTCTGACAAAACGCTATTATAAAGGCGTTTTAGGAAAAACACGCGGTCTCACGGTCAGTGTTTTTACTCGAAGCAAAAATGCATTTTCTAGATAGGGACACAAAAGTAGTGTTTCTGTTGTGTTAAAAACTCTTTAATTATACAAACAATTTAAATCTATAGTTTAAACACACAAAAAGCACTTCTTACAATTCCAAATGCAAACGGGTATAGTACAAAACATCAAAGCAATTCCAGGCTAAAACATACAAGCAACGTAATTGTAAAATTTACCTCTATAGTAGTAAATTCAGGGTTATGACGTGTCGAGATGCCTTCATTCCTAAATATCCGGCCCAATTCATAAACTTTTTCGAATCCACCAACCTGTCATTAGGAAATAGTGATATTTTTGCTTAGTATTGTTTGAGCATACATATGGTGATGTGGCCAACAACGTATGGCTAAGTGCAAAGAAATTAGTTCCATAAGCAATGCCACATGTTAAAGGTTGTGAATGTCCAACCAGCATTGCCAAAGCTCTTCCCAAATCAAGCCTTTGACATCAGATAAGTCAAAATCAATGTAGCTACTACATAATATCATGATACACATCATGGCACCCAGATGAAATACTTTAGACTATGACAATGGCATGTAAATAGGTTCACTATCAATAAAAGACCTGAAAGATAAAGTGTGTCGATATAGGGTCCGAATGAACGCAAACTATCAATCAAAGACCTAAAACATCATAGATTTTGATTTATTTGAATTTTTATTAATTCCATTGCTAATTCTTGGTGATTTTTTCTTCCCAAAAGTTTATTAGTTTAATAAGATTTGAAATATATTTAATTTAAAAAAAAAATCATGGTACTTTAGGTCTTGGATTGATAGTTTTCAATCATGGATCCTATTTCGAGATACTTTATCTTTTAGGTTCCTTATTGATAGTCAACTTAACGTTCAGTTTCTGGATTGATAAAATTCCTAATATATACAACAATGCTTGGTGTACAAGTTTTTGGTACACATTTTGTACATTTTTTCTATGTACACATACCACTTCCAAAATTACTTCATTCTTTTAGATAAATTACTTTCAAATTGTAGGGGCGTGTTAGGAATCTGGGTTTAGTAGGCTATTAATAAGAAATAATAATAATGTAAAGGTACTTGTAGTAGTATTGATAGAAGGGAGAAATAAGGGGTTTGGGGGGTAAATTAGCTAAGGAGTTGTCAGTTTGGTCCCTGCGTGGACTTTTACTATAGATAGAAGTGGGAGGAAGCTAATTAGGGCAGACTGTTATTTTGAGAACTGTTGCCTTGTTGCCTAAGAGTCCCGGTTGCCTAAGAAGTCCCTGTACTGCCTACGGATTACCTATTTCATCAATAAACATCTATTTCCATCTCTGTTCATCAGATCTGTGTGTTCGTTTACTGTTTTAGCTTTGATTTGTGTTTGTGCTAACATTGGTATCAGAGCACTCCTTCCTGGCATCTGAATCGATCGATCAACAGCATCAACAATCTGGAGAGATGGAAGAAGACTAGACACCATAAATGGAGGCTCGCTTGGATAAGTTCGAACTGGAGATGAAGACGGCTATGGCAGACTTCGCGACAACAATGAAGGAACAAATTCAGAACAGCATCGCGACTGCTATGGCAGTGATGAACGAACAAAGTCAGGCGACAGAGAGATCGCGAGTGGTTACTACAGGGTCGAAGACGCCTTCACCAGTCGCTCGTCACTGTTCCAGTTCTCGGTCACGTACATCTTCTCATCAGTCGCAGAGATCGACGCTCCCATATTGTTCCAGTTCGCAATCGCGAACTTCATCTTCATGTTCTCTAACTTCATCTCTAACCTCGCCCAGCTCTCAGTCGCCAACCACGTCTCCCAGTCCATCGCTAGCTGAGTTTCCTTGTTCTCAAAATTCGACGCAAGCCATTTTTACAGGTACGCCATCTTCGTCGCAAGCGGAATACTCTTCTTTGAAGAGGGCATCGCTAGCGGTTTATCCCAGTTCCCAGCCGCAGCGAGCAGATGCTCCCAGTGCACAAGTTCCATCGCTTCTCACAGATGGAGATGACAAACTTGAGAAACGAGTAGCAGTGGTTGCGGGGCCTGAAACCTTCTCCAAGTACAAGCTCGTCAAACCAGACCTGGAAACCAACAAGTTCAAGTTTATTCTGGAATGTGGTATTGTTGGTATTGAGAAATTCACATTTTCCTCAGTTTGAACAAAATATGAATTGGCCAAGTGTCTTAAGGTCTGAAATGGTGTACCATCATTCATCAAACATTAATTCGGAAGGACTGAACAAGTTTGATAGTTTGAGATATGATCAAGATGTAGGCATGGGACAGGCAGTTTACTTGTGTAGGGGAGATATGAAACCTCCCGAGTTTGCTGTTAAGGATGGACCTCTTGCTTATGTTGATCCTAGAAGGATGATAGAATGGAACAAGATCAATCAATGGGAAGAGATTATTGCTGCAGCACATAAGGTTTCTGAAAGCGTGGATAGGGGTGAGCTAACCAAATTCATATCAGTCAAAATCAATGCTGAACATGACTTTGTCGTTTTAATTGGAGATGCTTGGTGGGGGCCAGTTTCTGTGCCAGATGTAATTATCTTTGAGAATTTCTATCTGCTGAAATTGGGAGATTCTAACCTTTTCTACTTTGAGAGAGTTCCAAAGTATGGGGTGGAAGGATTGAAAGGAAGGACACTTACCAGTAATGTTGAGGGAGGTACAAACCGCCAAGTCTTGTTTTTATGCTGTGATAGGAACCCGGGCCTAATAGACTAATAATAATAATAATAAGGGACCGGGCCTATTAGAGTATAAACCAATAAGTGTATTAGTTAGTATAAATAGAAGAGAGCTGGGAGGAGTTAGAAAAAGGCTTTTAGACATTTGGTCTTGGGACTGGGAAGGATACGAGACTGAACATCTCGATCTTTTGGGGCTTCGGCTTTGGGGGCTTCGGCTTTGTTCATTGTTTCTTTTCTGTAATCGATATCTTCTTGAATAAAATTCTTCATCTGATTTCTTGTTACTCTTCTTGTAACTGTTCTGGAATCTGGAGGTTCCTATCATGCTGTCAGTATGGTTTCCAAGTTTGGAAGGTGGAAGAACCTGGTGGTATTCAAAATTTAGTTTCCGAGCAGGATGGTACTGTTCCATTCATGCAAAGTTCACCTAATCCAATTTCGTCAAAACAAAATATGGATGCAAATGCTAATAGTTGGCCATTGTTGATAATATTTGTTCATCTTGTGAGGTGCAGCTCTAGAGCGGCTATGATACACTGTGGTTATGAGGCAGATTTAGAAAGGGATATGATACACCTTCATTCATCAAAGAGAATTTTGGAAAGGCTGCATAAGTTAGATGGCTTCAGATTTGATGATGAAATTCCTGTGAAGTATGTCCAAAAAGGTGTGGGGGTAAGAGTTACTGGAACTTGGAAGGAAAGGGTTGGTTATATTACTGGTGGATTCATTGACATCTTCCTGGTGCTAGACAATGAATTCAATTCGGCTATCCTACAAGTGACCTTGATAATTGGTGAGAATGTAAGGAGAAGGCTGATAGGTTGTATACTAGTTCAAAGGGAGGGTGCAGGAAATGTTGAGGACAATGCCAGCTCTCTTTCACAGCTTGCTTTGCTCGAAGAGACAGTTGCTGAAGCTGCACTGGGCCTAAGTGAGGTATTGATGAAGGCTGCATCCAACAAAGTGACATGTGTACTGGTTGGTGGCAGGGTGTTCCTGTTAGTTGATCTGATCATTACAGGTCTTAAAACTTCAGATGGAACTGTGTTATCAACTGATATTGATTCAGCCAGTATGATCCTAAGTCTATTACGCAGGGATTGTGAGAGGGGAAGATTGTGTGGGGTAGCAAAAACCATTGCTCTTATTGGACAGGTTTCCCTTGAAGATGAACGTACTGCATCTATTGAGCTTGATATTATGCATAAACCGGCTATAGGCTATAGCCTTCGGGAATGTTACTGAAATTGGTGAAAGGTGTTTGGGAGGCAATTGGCAGGTTAGTGCTGAAGCAAGGCATGCAGCTCTTGCATCCTCTACAAGATTAGTTGGCTCTGCTGGTGATGATTCAAACGGTAGGGACCTGGATATTGGTCATGATTCACTCTTACCAATGCTAGGACAGTTGAATGAGCCTGAAAAGCTTTCCATGATGAGAAACACTACATGGACTTCGTTAAACTTCTGTCAAGGCAAGCCACCAACACCATTTGCCCTGATCAAAGCTGTATTGCCAGTCCTTCAGTCATTCATCCATATGAGAGAAGAAGAAGTTTGGAGTGAAGATTGCTGGATAATATGGAATATCACTACTGGAAATAGAAATCATATAAAGGCAAGGATTGAGACATATATCATTATTCCCGTGGTACATCTCCTTCAAAATGTAGAAGTTGACATCAAGGAAGAAGCTGCAGGGGCTATCTCTAAGGCCACATCAGGAGGCTCTTATAATCAGATTATGTGCCTGGCAAGTAAGGGATGCATTAAGATGCTCTCTGATCTCTTGTTCTGTCAAGATCCAAAAATTGTTACTGCATACCTTGAAGGGCTGGAGAACATTCTGAAAGTAGGCAAAGGGGACAAAGAAGTTGGGTTGAATAGGGGGATCAAGTTATATGCTTAGTTTTAAAAGGCATGAGGCGGCTTGAGGCGATTTCATTGACTTACCCGAGGCGCACGAGGCGCTAGGCGATAATGCGCTCGCCTCACGGACCTTAACCTTGTAGCTTTGGAAAAATATATTTATACTACTTCTGCATGAAGAACTCTTCCCAAAAAGTGATAAATCAAAAAATACTTCAAATTATTAAACAATCTTAATAAACACCTCAAGAGAAGAAAATATAATATTTATTCAGACAAAATAGCAAGAAGTATATACTCGTATTGTAGAAAGAACTCGTGAAAAGTAGAATGTATATTATTATTGTTGTTTGTGTAATACAAGGAGAAGACTACATAATATATAGCCAGAGAAGAAAGTAAAATAAGGAAGGAAATCAAGGAATCCTCCTAATTAAGGCTCTCTAATTAAGAAAAGATATATGGGGATATTTAGAGATTCTGAGATCTCCAGGATATCTTCCCATAACTCTTCCCATAACTGCTCAATCGGGTGATTACTTAGAATAATCTCTGCAATAATCTACACTCCCCCTCAAGCTGGGTGATGGATATCATCCATGCACAGCATGCTAGATAAGTCTTCAAACTGAATTCTGGGAAATGCCTTGGTGAGTATATCAGCTATTTGTTGCCTGGTTGGAACATAGATTAGTTGGATATCCTTAGCTGCAATCTTCTCAGACAAA